AACGGGCAAACCACTCAAACCTGTGAAAACCCAAAAAACTATAGGAGAAACAAAAAGGAAAGTAGAAATATGAATAAAAGAACATATTGTTGATTTGAAACATAGAAGGATAAATTCAGTTTTTTATGAACATTGCACAACAAACAATTGTAATATAAACAAAGAAACAAATTGGTACAAGAGAAAACTTAAAGAAAGTTATGAAGTAATAAAAGCCAAAAAAATATCATCATAAAAAATTTAAGCATAAAGATTCACAACAATTGGTTAAAATTATTATAATAATGATAATAGTAATAACAATAAGAAAGATTAATTTATCGTATAAATGCTCTTAAAGAGATGTTAATATGCCAACGAGATTAAACAGAACCTCATTAACACGGACATCAAGAGTATGTGCTAGGTGAAGTTCAGTGTAAATTCAAAAACTTTAACTGTAATGGTACTTCTAACTGTGAATATATTTTAAACAGTTAAAAATATTTTAACAGTAAAATATTTTTAACTCTAAATAAGTAATTTTAAACAAGATGTATTACCAGTTACCACCACCTTACAAGATATCACAGAAGTAATGGTACGTTATAACCTATTATAATATAAAACAATTTGTATGAGAAATTTGTGTTTGTTTTATTATGTAGCCAACAGAAAAGGGGCTTATGCCCAAAACACATCTCAGCCAACAGGATATTCCTGAATAAAGATTGATGTCAGAAATGCCCAGTGTCTGTCTATGCACTTGGTCGTGACAGTAAAAACAAAAGGAGACATGGTTTCAGAATACACGAAATTTAAATTATTATTAAATATTTTCAAATTTGATTAATACTGGTATCATTTTGTCAACTATTAAGAAATGAAATTGCTTTTTCTGGAAATGAAAGTTTATTAATGTAGAAAAAATATTTTTGGCCTATCTTAGCCAATATCATCTTATATATATATAAATAAAAATAAAATGGTCATTACAAACTGAGCATTACTACTTAAATTATAAACTGATAAATAACACAAAACTATATTTACACTTAAAATTAAAATAAAAGTAACAATAAGACTTTTTAAGTAAAATATGATGACAAAACATGTTAAACAAATTTAATTAATAACAGATAGGTTTAAAAGCAACAGTTAATAAAGGTAAGGCATTAAAAGGAATGTTTATGATGATGATGATGATATAGTCCATTATTTTAATACAGACCCATTGTTAATTCAATCATTTAGCTTTAATATATAACTATTGGGTTTGGATGGCTTCATTCGATGATAAAGTATTTAAATTATTTAAATGTAGAAATGCAGTGTTCCCTGAAACTAGCAAATGTTATTAAATAACTCAAGTTAAAACATAATAGTAAAATAAATTTTTACATAATGTTTTCTGAACAGTAATTAGATGAATGAAACAATTTCAGCAATTTATTGAATGGTCTGACTATTACAGTCTGTCAAGTTTTATCCTATAAGGAAGCTTATCTTTTGTTTGAACAAGTTGGCCACTAAGGAAAACAATTTTTTTTTTAAATATCACATCACTTCATTTTTCCTGTTTTATCTATTTATCAAACTTAATAATAATCCTTTTTAGTAAATTTTTCTACTTTGTGAATTTGTGATAGAATTTTCACATAAGCTTTTCCAGTAGCAAATAAAACTATTCAGAGCAACAAATTTCTGGTGGAGAGAAAAGATTTTATTTCAAGGTTATATCAATAGACATACAGTGGAACATTGCTTAATGAGCACCTCTTGTAACAAGTAATTCGCATAAAGAGCAAAACAAATTGTAAAAAAAAATGAGTCGCTTAATTAACGAGTGACATTTTGCATAATGAGTGATGAGGAGAGGGGAAGTCTCAGATTGTGCACATGCTCCATCAGTCTGTGTTTAGCACTTGTTCTGCTAGCATTTTAGTGTTGCTTGTAATCACACATTTTTCCACACTTGTGTTCAGACATTACATATAAACATCAACAACCATAGCCCATTATATAATAAACATGCCAAGCAATGTTAGATTCTTGGGCTATGTAAAGGCTATAATTAAATATTAGAAATTACTGTACTTTTTTTTTTTTGTTTTCTGCAAATCAAATTTGTGTTCCAGATTGGTTCATTCCGCACTAGAAGAAAAGATGGTGATGATTCACGCTTCTTATCAATGCACATTTCTTTGAATAAATGTTATACATAATATTTGAGTATTTTATATGTTATATAAAATACTCAAATATGAGTATTTTTTTCAACATGGAATGCATTATTGTATTCTACATTAATTTATATGGGAAAAATTGTTTTGTCTAATGAGGTTTCACATTATGTGTAAATTTCTGGAACGAATTATGCTCATTAAGTGAGGTTCCACTGTAATTAGATCTTTGTAAGAGTCAAATCCAATGTTATTTTTTGATTAAAACAAAAACTTCAACTCCCAGTTCAAAATGACAAAATGTTACTTGCATGACTCACTTGTGAGAAACATCATCACTGATCTAAAGTGGTATCTCAAGTTAAGAGATCTCAAAAGGGATTTAATGAGTAGTCACTTAATCCTATTGCTACTGATTTTTAAAAATTGACAAATAAATTTATGGAAACATTGGACTGACTCCTGTCAAATAGATTGTGAAGAATTAAAACTAATTGTTAGCAAGTATGTATGAAAATGGGTAAAGTGGCATTGTGATGTCACATTCAGGATGTATAAAGCAATGGCAAAGCAGAAGATAGATGAGGTAAAGCTACAAGACAAGTATAGGTGATACTTTTGAGTATGTGGTCTAGTGAGTAAACTGATTTGATCCTTTTGGCATTCCTGGCATGACAGTTAGCTGGTTTATGTCTAAGAGTTTTAGTAAGTGATTCAATTTTGAGTTATTTTTGTCAGTTTTTGTGAAGATTTAAGTGTTAAATTTAAGTTTGCCAATTATTAGGAAAGTTTTGTAAATACTAGTTTTGATTTGGACTTCTTATAGTTCTTAGTTTTGTTTTTTTTACTTAGTGGCTTTGTGATTTTATTAGATGACTAACTTAGTTCCATGTTAACTAGCATTGTCTTATGACTGTATATAGTTAACCCCAGTAATTGTAAATAGTCATTTTCATGTAATAAATACTTTTATTTGTGTTTTTTTTTTTTTTTTTTTTGAAGAGTTGTTATTTTCTGATTTTCTTTTTTCAGACAAGAAAACTGGTTGTTTCTTCTTGCCCATATCTTAAATCCAGGCATGGCAATTGTTCAAACCCATTTATTTAACACCATTTGTTGGGTTTAATTCCAGCTAGACTAAAAAGTAAATTACAGCTCTACTCCATCATTAGATGATATGGGCATTAAAATTATTTTGTATTTAATGTTTTTCTAAGTTTATTTTAATATTTATTATTATTATTTGATAAATAATACAGAATGAAGTGATATGATAAAAAATTTGTCATTCAACAATAATATTTTGGGACATGAAATTTGAGAATTCCTTCTACATATTTAATTTATCTTTGTTTCACTTATTTTATAACTACATCTACAATAAAAAGTGTAATAGAAAAATAGCATTTTAATATTTGATATGGTACTTTCTGAAGTGCATACTAATAAACACCATGCTATCAATGGCTGTTCTGGAGGTGTAGAATATATGTAAAGCAAGATATGTTAAGGTTTCCTTGTTCTTCTAACAATTTTCTGCAGAGTATAAACATGAAAATACAGTAACTATTTTAATTTGTAACAAATATATACAGAAGCAAAGCAAAAGTCAGCAACATTCAGTAGTTTTCTGTGTTTGGAATGTCAGAATCTGAAGAAGCAGTGTTTGTTGACTTTTAACCTAACAATTTACAAAACCATAAATATGCATATATCAGTGCCAAATAAAAAAGGCCCACTGTATATTAAATTCACTAAACACAAACATTATGCATAACAAAATAACTAAAAAAACCATAAACTCATAAAAATGTAATAAAGCATATTATATCTAATATACAGAGTTCTACTCAAATTTTTGTTTTAATTTCCATGACTTTCTCTGACCAACTCTGTACAAATTCTGGCACATTGACACATCCCTTACAGTATGGTACATTGACAAAATAAAACAGCATTTGACTTCCTATGCATCTGTTTTGCTTCTCCAATGTTTTAATTAGTTATTTTTTCTAAGTAACAGTTATATATTTTTTATAATTGCCAAATTATTAAAATTAAAAATAAAATGTTTTATTAAAATTCTGCTATTAATCCACAACCATAATTCTACAAGGCTTTAAAAAAAACAATTATTTTTCATTATTCATTAACAAATTCTATATTCATGTACAGTACAAAAGAATATCTTTATTAAATTTATCTCTTAATAAATTTCCTGAACTTAATATTAATAAACTGAAAAAAATCCGAAATTGTTTTGTTATGCAATCAAAATTGTTAAAATGAAAAATAATAAATAATATCATTTATATTTCTCATTTTTTGTACTTTGTAAATTTTTGGGAAAATTTTGTATATGCTTGGGAGGAGAAATTTTGGGTCCTGAAAATATTCTGCACCCTTTTTCATAAGTTGTATTGCACCATATTACTTCTTGCTACCTGCAGATGGCTACACTTAGTCAAGCATATTGTCAGTAAAAAAATCAACAGGGCAACCAAATCAAATTCCCTGACTTTGAACACTAATGAAAATCCATGATTTTCCATGACTTGCCAGTTGCATAGGAACCATGAATATAAGATTGCCATTCTGAAATACAGCATAAAAATGCTTTAATATAAAAGGACAGCTGTTTACTTGAAAGTTCTTAAATCTTTTTGTAAGCTAGCTGCTCATTAAAACATTTTATGTTATATCTAATTCTGATGGGCTTTTTCTTACAAAGAATTAAAAATATGTAAAGTTTATTAAACAGTTATGCTATATATGAGCAAATGTCAGTCAAAAATAAAAAAATATATAATTTAGTCTAATCATAGATTTAAAACAAACCTATTATTGGTCTTCCAGGAGCATAAGTAGATTTCACAGATGATGTACGTGTAGGTGGTGGAGGAGAAGGTGGTGGTGGAGGAGGTAGCACATGACTCACACTACTATTTGGATATATTAAAGAAGGTTTATTTTGGGAAAAATTAATACGATAATGATGTGGAGGTGGAGGTGGTGCAGATGTTGGAGGAGATGGACCTACGCCAGTTCTATTTGGTGGTGGTGGAGGCGGAGGTGGTGGTGGTGGTTTTACATTTGGAGGTTTTGATGACACACATCCTGTTCTAGATGGAGGTGCAGGAGATGAATTTGGTTTATTAGCAGAAAATGATTGAACACGAGTAGGAGATACTTGAACATTAGTTTGATGAGAAGATATACAAAAGTTTTTATAGGAGTTCAACCTTGAATCAGAATTATTATGTAAAAATCCTCCATTTCTATTATCATGAGCACCATAACTAAGTCTTCGAACTAAACTTGGTGGTTTAGAAGGTAAAGCTGGAGGTTCATTAAGAGCCAATATTGGACTCTTAGGTGGAGGTGGTGGTTTCACACTTGGAGGTGATCTTGAAATTCTTGCACCTCTTCCAGCAGCATAACAATGAGAACTTGAACGAGTAATTCCAGGTGGTTTATTTGGCAAAGGTGGTCCCAATTTATTGACAGATAAATTTGTTTCAAAAATAGGTTTATAATTTGCTGATGGTGGTGGTGGAGCAGGACCTTTGGTGATTACATCATTTGGAAAAGGTGATCTTTTTGTTATTCTAGGTGCATAATTAGTTGACTTTGTAACAGCACTAGATGCAGCTTCCCTAGTGCTTTTATGAGCACTAACTGGACTAGAAACATAAGAATTTGCACAAGTAAAATGAATTTTATCAGGCTCTGCATCACTGGAAGATCCTGTCTCTGTATTTGCACCTGGAAAAATTAATAATGTTATTTTTTTTAAAATTTAAAAAATAAAAAATTATTGCTTGTCAACAAACTACTAGTATATATATAT